CATTTATTTGGGTTCCAGCACATGTTGGAGTTGAAGGAAATGAGAAGGCAGATAAGCATGCTAAGAATTCTTTGAACTTGAATCAGATAGGAACTGACATAAAAATGAGTAAGGCAGAAGCAAAAATAATAATTAGGAAAGCTCTTATAAATGCATGGCAGAAACTTTGGGAGAAAGAGAAGACTGGACGACATCTATATAGAAATCAAAGGGAAGTAGGAATACGTAACAATGACATGGGATTAAGAAGACGAGAAGAATCAGTAATAATAAGAATTAAAATAGGACATACTGCATTGAATGGAAATTTAAATAGAATTAAGAAACATCCGAATGGATTATGCATGCATTGTGGGATTTGTGAAACTGTAGAGCATGTACTGTTGCATTGTAGAGCATATAACAACGAATGACAAATGCTAGAAGCTAAAGTAATAGAAGAAGGTGGAAGCATGATGTTAGAAGATATATTAAATAAGCTCAAAAGGAGTAAGAATATTAGATTTGCTTTGTTAAAATATTTTAAAGATACAGGAAATTATATAAGAATATAATGATGTTTATTTATTTGTTTATTTATTTATTTATGACTATTATTATTATTATGGGCATCTACAAACCGTCGCACAATAATAAAAACAGATCTCGGAGTATTATCTTTCACAGGTAAGACTGAACAGTTGTTTCTGTATGTGATGGCGGACGCGTTGACGTATCGCAGCAACGGCTCAAAGCGGCCAATGAGGCGTCTAGGTATTTATTATGTCTATGATAGTGGGCGTCATCAAGAAATCGAAAGTATCGCTACGTGAAAGCTAGTGCGCGAGGCACCTGAACGTCTGCTGCTCACAGTACCGCGATTTCTTTGTCTGAAAATAACGAACATTTACATTAATTATGTCCAAAACTAATGTACTGAAGATAAACGCTGATAATGCAGTGAGGGTAAGTTCATCTCTGTAGAATTTATACTATTTCCTCTCTCAACAGAGTGCAATAAAAGTAAACGCGTTTACGACTGTTGACAATATGGCTCCTCAATGAAGTTTTAAAGGGCTTGTGTTGTTTGTTTGGTAGTTATTGAACATAAAACACTGCTGGCGATCTCTGCTTATGATAAAAAAAAAAAAAATCCTGAGTCACACTTCCTCATCCACGAATGTTGAAAGTGAAAGTAACGTGAAAGCATGGAAGGCGCGATCATGTTCATGGACAAAAATGGTGTTTGAATTGTAATTGTATATTTGTATTACCTTCATCCAGATAGAAAACTACCGCCAGTCACTGTATAAGCAGGTATGAATTCAATTGAAATAATACACACACAGGCAAAATTTGAGATTTTGCATTGCATTGGTTGTTTGTGTTGACAATATTCATTGCATTGACAGGCAGAAGAGCTGTTCTCCAATCACATACCTCTGAAGATCTCACAGCTTGACAACCTGCTGAAGGTACCGTTGTTCATTTGGCATATCCAAAGTGACCAATACATTTGGGTATTCATGCATGTGTGTCCTTGGGAAATGAACTTGTGGCCTTGTTTCTACTGCACAGGTTACCATTTGTGACCCAGGACCATAAAACCAGTCATAAGGGTAATTTCTTTGAAATTGAGATTTATACATTACACGAAAGTTGAATAAATAAGCTTTCCATTGAGGTGTGGTTTGTTAGGATAGGACAATATTTGGACGAGATACAACTATTTGAATATCTGGAAATACTGGGAAAATCACCTTTAAAGTTGTCCAAATGAAGTTTTTAGCAATGCATATTACTAATCAAACATTAAGTTTTGATACATTTACGGAAGTAAATTTACAAAATATCTTCATGAAACATGATCTTTACTTAATATCCTAATGATTTTTGGCATAAAAGAAAAAACGTTAATTTTGACCCATACAATGTATTGTTGGCTATTGCTACAAATATAGCCGTGCTACTTATGACTGGTTTTGTGGTCCAGGGTCACATTTGAGCAATACCTCGACTTCAGTGACAACTGAATTTAAATACTTTTCTTTTATGGTTTTAGGGGGATGACTTCAGTATCACTGACCTCTCATCTCTCCATGCACCCCTGGACATTCCCATTCCTGACCCCCCTGCTCCAGAAGATGAGGTTGGCATCCAGCTTGTGATTTAAAATGATGCTTTTTGAAATTAATTTGGGGGGAAAAAATAGAATTAAAAAAAAAATTTAAATAAAAAGATTTAAAACGTTTATTTAAATATTTTAACAGGAGATGGAGACAGATAAAAATGAAGATGATGAGAAAAAGAAGAAAGGTAATTTCACACACACACACACACGCATGCACACACACTCTTTGGGTTTCCATGCTTTATGGGGACATTCCATAGACATAATGATTTTCATACTGTAAAAACTATATTTTCTATCCCCTTACCCTACCCTTCACACAAAATATTTTTAGATTTTCAAAAACTTAATTCTGTATGATTTACAGTATAAGCTATTTTCCTCATGGGGATTTCCTCATGCAATCATGAGTACATGAATGACTGAGTGAAATTGTATTTATGAATGGGAAATTTGGAAAGATGATACACAAATAACTGATTTTCAGAAAGGCACGTTTATCTGAAACATTGCGTAAACACTGATCTATAGCTAATATAGAATAGTGGTTCTCAGCTTTTTTGACTCCAAGGTCCCCCATTGTTCACAACAATATTTGAAGGGCCTTTATCCCTAGTTTTGTTTTCAAAACATGTTTTAATCTATGGGTACTCCTAGTTTCTGTAAATTTAAAATGTAACTAAAATAATTATGAAATTAAAACAGGAGCTGAATGTTCTTCAGGCAAAATTGTTATGAACAGATTAAATTAAGGTGAATGTTTACTAGAGAGAGATATAGAAGACATGTGGATAAAAGTGCTTTAAAGTTGCAAATTTGCACCAAACCATAACTGTGATACATTGTTGTGATATGGAAATATGGCATATTTTTGTAATGTTACATTTTTCTTGTGTCAGCTCCCAAGTGTGGTTTCATCAAAGGAAATGAGAGGATTGTGAAGTTGCTGGATATTGTAAAACCAGAGATAATGGCTCTGAAGGAGACCTGCATCACTGTAAGTGAGCAAAATTAACTCATAGATACGTTTTTAGCATTTTCCCAGATATACAGTAGTGGCAGCTTTATTCTTTTATTTTTTTTCAGGTTTCTTGCTGGATTTCTCATCTAATTCCAAAAATAGAGGATGGAAATGATTTTGGAGTTGCAATTCAGGTTATTAAACCTTAAAAGGCTCAGACTGTTTCTAAATGCATGCTTTATACCACATAATGTTTTTGATTCTGAATCTCAAAGATAAGCAGCAGTTAACATGACTGATATTGATATTTTAGGAAAAAATCCTTGAGAGAATTACTGCTGTGAAGACCAAGGTGGAGGGTTTTCAGACCAACATTAACAAGTATGACCAACTATTTCAGTACATTGATTATGCTTACTGAAGATTGTAAAATTGCAGTATATTTTACACTCCCCACATTTATTCATTTCGTGTGTTTATCTGCAGGTACTTCTCAGAGAGAGGTGATGCAGTGGCAAAAGCTTCCAAAGACACACATGTGGTGAGTGTGACCTGTCAAATCAACTTATTAGTTTCATTACTTTTTTGTATAGCCACAGTTATTAAATAGGGCTTTCAATACCATGTTCTCGGTTTTTGCCATTCAACCCTTTGATTCATGAGTTAAGAGGTCATTCGAGTACTCTGTGCAAACACAAAAGATGTACAACTCTGAGCATTCTGTAGCCCTCAACAATGAAATTGAGTATTTCAGAAATTACAATTTTGCAAGAAAATGTGATGTTCAGGCGTAATAAACATCACCCAACTTTTTAAGAATACGAACAGGCAAGTACAAAGCAATTAAATCCATCTAATGATTAATTTTATATTATTCATTTCATTTTATCAGCAGTTTTCTCTAAAAATACTAGACAATTATTACATAATTTGCATATGTAACTGTGTGGTGGTAAATCACCAGATTTACACATTGACCCCATCACTTCAAAAAGATTTACAGTATAGTTTCAATTAAAGCAATAAGCCGCTTTGCGTCGTGCCTAACAATGCCCATTAGCTGTTATAAATTCACTGTAAACCACGGCTTCACGGGGCTTATTGCTTTTATAAAACAGTTATTCCATGTATGTAGCAAGGTTTCACAAAATAAAACAAAGCAAATAAAATGTAATGAAATGAATAAAAACATTATTCTTCCGCCAAACAATGTATTTCCTCCGAAACGGTTGTGGTTGCAACAAAATGGTTGCCGAGCAACACAGATGTAAAAAAAAAAGTGTGTGTTTGTAGAGTAATTTACAACAGCTTCGAACGCAGCTCAACCAATCAGAATCAAGGACCGGAACTATCCATTTTATAATCACTTTTACAGTCTTGAAATACACTTTCATATCCTTTTTGTGTAACAATAAATATATATTCTTTTGGCAGATGGATTATCGCTCTCTGGTGCACGAGAAGGATGAAGCAGCCTATTCTGAGATTAGAGTGATTGTGCTTGATATACGCGGTTTCTATGTGAGTTTATTACATTTATTCATTCAGCAAACAGCTTCTAAATAAGAAATGCTACCACACGAGCCATTCATCCTGGGGATATTGCCTTCACGAATGAATCATAATTGTGGACACAACTGTATGGCTGAAGATTCAGATGTCTGTTGTTTCTCAGGCTGAACTCTATGATGTCATCAGCAAGAACCTGGAGAAAGTGACGAATCCTAAAGGAGAAGAGAAGCCCTCCATGTACTGAGACAGATGCTTACTGGGACCAGCGCAGTTCTACAACTAGACCAGTTTTCAGAATTTATCATTTCTTCACATGATTTTTGACACTCTACAGATACATCTTTAAAGTGGTGTTAGTAAACTTGTTAAATCAGTCATAAACATACAGTGTGTTGTGGTACAAATTATGAGTTCATGTAAATCTACATGTACATTTATTTCAGCATATACAAAATAAATCAGGAAAATGCACAAATTCACAAATGTGACATTCTTAAAGCAAAGAACCACATTAAAACCAAAAATTTTCTTCATTCACACTTCAGGAATCTATCGCAACAAATTCTATTATAACATACAACTGAATTCCAACTCAGTCCAATTCATTTGATCTGTTTTATTGTAACAAGCGGCAAATGTTTACAAAAACTTTTTGGATCACTTAAAGAATAGAAAGAACTAATGTGGAAAAACTCCCCTCATAAAATGAAAATGAATGTTTGAAAACAATAAGTGATCATTTTTCAGGTTTCTTTCATGAAACAGGAACATAAATAGTATGTTTATTTTGTGGAAGGTGCTACATATTTCTCAAACTTCTGGTCCTTCTCCTCCTGGAATCAACTGGAAAACAGCAGAAACACATAATTTCAATACATTTGACAAAGTAACATGTCATTTTAATTAGCATTCATCTATTAATGCAATTACAGTTTGGTGTTTTGGTAATTTTTTAATATAGTCAGGGATAGGCTGGGATGTTAAGGCGTGTTTTTAGATCTGTGGGCTTCCTCTTATTTTCTTGGTTTGACATTTTAAGACTCCCTGTATTAAAGAACATCAGCAAAAATGACAGATTTAGAAAACTTATGTGGGTTTTTTTTTAGTTTTAGTAAAATACTGAAAGAAAATGTTGAGATATAGCTTTCTATATGACCCAGTTGGTTGGTAGATGTAGTGCATTGTAGCTTTCATTAAACACTGGCTACAAAAACAAACTTACATAAGAGCTTTACTCATATTCATACACTAAACTAATCTAAAAGCAAATGTTGTCAATTCATTAAGCGTGATATATAGTTGATTGTTAAGTGATTTAAAGATGAACTCAATAATTGATCATACCATTGTGATGTTATTGCCATTGAGTAGAATCTGATCCAGCTTTGTGATTCTTCTTCCTTCTGGAGTGATTTCACTGTGACACAAAAATATCACATAACACATAGTTGTTATGGCTCAGTGATATCTGAGATGAAGAAACATCAAGTTTCTGAAATGTAATCTCACATTCATATTGATATCAAACATTTTTTGTCAAATGTTTTTCCAAACATCATTTTAATATATTCAGATTTCCGATTGGAGAAAACGTGGTGGAGCCACGTAAAAAGTTATAAAACATTTTCCTTACACCTTGAATACACGAGTGTACAATTCAAAAATGTTTAAGTGAATTTTTGAAACATTATTATATAATATATTATCAATTCATGACATCCTAAACCATAATAATGAAGTCCCCATGGTATTGCTCAATTTGACCTGGAATAACCACCCCTTTTAAAAAAAATCTGTGTGTTGGTTTCCCCAGAAGTGGTGTTTTTGCTCTTTTGAACACATCAAATGGAAAGGCTGCTTTATTCACTGTTTTTGCAATACTTACGCAATCGAAATGAACACCTGGTATCTTGACAGGACACATGGATGCCATTTCACGGGACACATTAAGCTGCATTTGCTTTTTATTTCAAATGTTCAATTATTTTCTACTTTTATACCATGATGTTTTAGGGAAATAAACAAATTTGACACATTCCAAATTCTGTATGAACCTTGTTAATAGCAAGAACACAATGGTGTCTGGATCCCAGTAAAAAAAAAAAAGCCTATATTAGAGTATCAATACTCAATATTCACATATCCCATATATATTTAGTCATAAGTTTGAGGAGCAGTTAAAGTCAAAGCAGATGGATGCATACATCAGGTAAAGATAATAAAGAAATATATAAGCACATTTTTATGTAGAAACATATACTTACAACTCTGTCACATCCTCAAGAACCATGTCTGATTAAAACAGTCAAGAAAATGTATGTGGAGTCCTGCCACACTTTTTAAAGGAGACATATTATGCCCCTTTTTACAATATGTAATATAAGTCTCTGGTGTCCCCAGAATGTGTATGTGAAGTTTCAGCTCAAAATACTCCAGAGATAATTTATTATATCATTTTGAAAATGCCTATTTTGAGTGGAAGCAGAAACACGCTGTTTTTCGGCCCTTTCTCTTTAAATGCGAATGAGCTGCTGCTCCCCGTCCCCTTTTCCAGAATAGAGCTGCTCCATTACAGCTCGTACCTGCTAAAAACATCTGTTTTGGTTCTGATTATCATGTTTATCGCGCTGAAATCATGCGTTTTAAAGCATATGAGTTTAAACTTCTGATATATGGTTTTCTGAGCGCACACATCCAAAGCACATGGACAGAAAGCGGCTGTCACAGCATGTGAGTATTAAACTAAGTTCTCATTCTCACACAAGTTTACGTTAAAAACAAACACGAGTTACAAAAACAGTGGGTTATGTCTGTGAAGGTAAACTGCTGGGAAAGAAATCGCATGTTTATTTTAGATCTGTGTGGCAGCAGCAATATACATTAAATAAATCAATAAATCCACTGCTCTCTTGTCTCCTCTGAGGCTGGGACTCTAAATAGTGTTCTGTGCTCGTCTGTGCAGCCAAAGGCAGGACAGTTAGCGTGTTTTGCTCAAACTTTCGCCATGGCATTAGAACTGGTACACCGTTGTCGCTTGCAAAATCAAAGCCCCCTGGATCTTGTGTTCTGCTGTGAGGACCATCTCGCGCCGTGGGTGGAAACTTACAGATTAAGGGGCGGTAATATTATAATGAGATCCCTTTGCAACATCACTAGGGGAGCGAAATCAGATGCACTAGTTTTCTCAGAGGCTTGCAGAAAAAGGCTTACCAAACCAAAGTTACTGGGTTAATCTTTTTCACGTTTCCTTGGTTGGTAGATGCACTGGGGGCCTGATTATAGCACTTAAAACCTGGAAAAGTCAGATTTTCATGATATGTCAACTTTAAATTTAATGCACAGTCTCTTTCTTTACATCATGTGAAATAAAACTGTAACTATAATGGTATTATAACAAAGAGTCTCTTACATTCATAGGACAAATAAATGATTGTAAAGTGTTACTATGTCCAGAGGAGTGAATGTGTAACAGTGTCATCGGCTCTGTACTTGTATTTTGTAAAATAAAACTGAATCTAATCCTAAAGCATTAATCCATCACAAATATGTGCCAGTTTTTTTTTCCAGCACATAAAAGGATACTGACAAAGTCATCAAATCCGAGCAGAGTTCCCACAATCTCTTTATCGTTCTTCATGACGATGTGAATCCGTGAACCAATGCATTTATCCACCAGCTCTGAAAGACATCACAGAAGCCATGACAAACACATTAAAAAACAACTGAAGCTGTTCATGTCTGCAGTATACAAGGTGTGGACAGTGTGAAATCTGCTAACCTAAATGTTCCAAATGCAGATTACAGTATACATCAAAAGACACATGCAGTATCTAGGCCTGTCGCAATAATCAATATATCGACTTATCGCACAATATATGTACGTGACCTCAATAATTTTTGGTGATGCAATATATAACCCATTATATTTACATACAAATGAATGTCACCATGTTTTGTACATTCCACTTGCGTCAGTGTCTTTTGCAGCTTCTCGTACATAACGTGGTGTAGTTGGTGCTAGTTCAAAATTAAAAAATGCTTCTACAAACAAAGTTTCATCTGCAGATATGATCTTGTTTAGGGATCTGTGCCTTTGTGCATACGTACATCTGACTGCTAAGTAGTGATTGTGTTTTTCAGCAATAGTGTGCACCCTTAAATTACAGAGAAAAGAAGGTCAGGGGAAAATCTGTAGATGGAAAAATCTCCATACAAGTTCTTTGTGCATTTTTCTTTTTTTCTACTTGTTACTTTGCACTTTTTGTTAGAAAATGTTTATTTACTATTTATTCAAGTTTTTAAGGTATCTAATATTTTGATACTTAATTTCCATGATCTAAATATTCTTAAGAATTAAAAGTTTGTTGTCATTTGAAAGTGTGTAGGCCTTCTTGCATTATTATGCTGCTATGTTATGATTATATATTCAGTGGCATGAAATGATCTTTAAAATGACAATAATATCGCTTATCGCAATTACTTATGGGGCTATATATCGCACAACAAAAAGTTATGGTCACAGGCCTAGCAGTATCCCACAATACAATGTGCTTGACACTCCAAAAAAAAGTGTGACGAATGAAGCAGAAGTGACAAAACATTCTGAAAATCAAGTTTGACATATTTCAAGATAGATCATTTTTTATAACTTAAGCTTGCCAGTAGTGTCAAATGAATATTAAGGTTTAGATATACTTCAAACTTTCAATCAAAGAACAAACAGATGTGACAATTTCAAACTAAATCTGGCCAAAATGAAGTTCTATTGGAGTATGTTTCGGTGGTTTGAAAAAGCTTGCCAGAGTGAACTTTCCAGGAAACTGTTTAACACCTTAAGTCTGTAATTGGGCCATGATGATTACATGGCAGTTGGGTCTGATTTGAGGCTCTACCTTCTTTGAAGTAAAATATCTTCAATTTCATTTTTTATAATTATTCTGTCGAGGTCAAACATAAGTGAAAACATGAATACACTGGAGAGTTGCTTTCAATTAAAGTTGTACTTATAATTGACATAATGATTCCTTTATTCGGAATTCCTGAATGCCATTCATCAGATATTGCAAAGTTATTTTTTTACCCCCTGACTGAAGAACAAAACAGAACTTACATGAGTATGTCACGTTTTATCTTTGTTGTAGAAACAAAATTCACATCACGCGCAACGTACTCTAGTGTACGTGTAAAAACTTAAGTATACTTTGGACTTTTAGGGTTCCAGTTGGGACAGATCCTGTGTCTGGCATTTATGTCCCCCGTACTTCAGTATGAAACATAACCTAAGCAGGCTAAACAACACTAAATTATTATGAGCAATAAACTTTTAGAATAAGTACTTCTATATTAAAAATTATGAAAATGATTAATTTCTTTCACTTAGGTAAGAATATTTTAAGGTTAAGTGATTCAATGTATCTATAAGCTGTTCCCGTCTTCACATCTTTACAATGACTGAAATACAGCATGTAAAATTAAAATAACTTGCAAACTAATTCATTACCATTCATATAGAATTTAATTCGACACGCCCCTTGCAACATCCAAACCCAGCAATTCTATCATCCAGAATTCTGGGGTTTCCACTTTTTAAACGACTTGGTCTTGACACTTGGTCAGTCGTGTGTTTGCAACTCGTAATTACGACATTATAGGCTAACTGAAGATTAAATAAATTAGTGAACTAATGAAGGGAAGGGGATGACAACAGAATTTAATAGGGGTATGGAGTGAATTCAATATAGATGCTCACTTTGTAACAGAATTCGCCCATACTGACTGCAGGGACGGATTTCCATTTAACTTATATCTTGAATCACTTATTTAAAAATGATTAGACCTATTACATTTAATATACACGTGTGTCCAATAATATAAATAAATTAATAAAACGTACTGAGATTTGAATGCGACTCGGTGGGAACTGGGATCTATATGCCCCCATTACAACAACTACAAATGTTTAATTAGTAAAATAAATAATCCATTAAACCCAAAGTCGCACATACCGAGAGGTAAAAGCTGCGAGGGATTCGTTGCCGCGATCGCCGCCATTTTGATAACAGCCCTTCGTAATCGGCCACTGAAAAAAATACAGACATGAGAAATCGATATAAGCAGCCATCGATGACTATATAAACACAAGTGCAGCTCCGTTAGTTCAGATAGACAGCCATGAGCAAACTTTTTGGGGAAAAAAATTATTTGTATCCATTTAGCTACGTTCAGTTCTTTGACAATAATACATTCAATTTGTACTTAAAAATAATTTTATACAACCTGTCCGATTATATTTATTCTTTGCATGCATTGTTAAGTATTAACCCTAAGTGTTAACCCTTTTTGTAAGTATTTGTCATAGTGTTTCTTTGTCTTGTGTTGTCACCTGTATATAAGCTTTCATGGTTCAGCTGCCAAAATTGTATTCTCACATTTTTGCTTTACGGTTCATTAGGCACTACTCCTTACAAATTAGACATTGTGGACAAACGCATCTGCTAAATGAATACATGCAGGTCTAATGTAATCTGTGACTCATTCATTAACTGTAATGTTCAAGGTGTATTCAAGATTAGTGCCTAGGTTTTTACTCCATTGAAATGCCATTTGGTCTCCCACCAAGAGCAAGAGAATGTCTCATCTCTTGACTGGAGATGCTGATAATTTTTGTAAAGATGGTCAATATCAAGATATCTGTTCTTTATTGTAATACAGAAATACTGATGCCATCTAGTTTTCCTCAGCATGAACTTTCCAATGATATGATATTGAAAATACTTTAGACACTAAAAATATTGGAAATATTGTAGATATTGTACTGATGTGTGTTACAAATAAAACTTTATCTTTATAACAAAAAAGTATTTAAATCTGGAGAGTTTTAGGTTTATTAAGCTTTTAAAATAAAAACAAGTTATGTCATAAAAAGACGAGGAAACATTTTGGGTTGTGCACTATTTATAGGTTACTAATCAAATGTGAGTAAATGAGTGTAATTGATCATGTGTTTTTTGCAGATGGTCATATGTTGTTAATTCTCTTTCAAACATCGTAACATCTTAACATCCTGAGACCCTGCATCCTCATATGAGGACATTATATTTTAGTGAATTTCTCTGAGACTATACATGCCACAGTTTGAAGTCTGGATGTCCTGTACAGAGCACATTCAGGGCTTTTCAGAGATACTAAATGTTTGGATGTTTCACCATGACCACTCCCTCTCTTTGGTCTTCAAAAATGTCTGATATTAATTTAGTGACACTCTTATGGAAATATTTACATTTTACATTTTTGTCATTTAGCAGATGCTTTTATCCAAAGCGACTTACAAATGTAGGTAAAGAAATTATATTTCAATATTCCTATGAAATATGATTATGAAAATCTTGTCAATTATTACTCCCATTATTATACTTCTTTTTCATTACATGCTGACCCAAAAACACATTAATATGCAAATTAGATTTAGTTTATAGATACATTATATATAATGAGAAAACTTGTTTATGGCCATTTTACACACATTTTGCATAAAGAAAAATGGTATATCAAATCATTCTGTTATAGCATAGTTGAGAATTATCTTTATACAAATTTTGGTAAAAAAAAATCCTGAAAACTAAAAATTTATTGGTGATTTAAAAAAAAATCAATTGTTTTTGCCTATGCATGTTCATTAATGTCTTTTATTTATTTATTTTAAATGAGTCCCGATGTCCTCTTCCAAGGACGTAGCATAACTTATGAATGAAATATGTTTTATTTTTTTCTTCTTTTTTTTTTAAAACTTTTTTTAAATGCTCTAAACAATGTAATGACATGGAAAAAATACTATTTATTAAAATACTCTTAAGAGGTTAAGTCCTGAGAACATGATCATCATGTTTCATGTCAGCTCTAGGTCTATTATCATTAAAGGAATAAAAAAGAGAGAAAGCATAGGCTATTATGGATAGAGGACTCATATTTAAGCTGGAAGCAATGGTTTGAAGTTAAAAATGTCTTAATAATGAATTTTATTACAAATAAAGTTTAATGAGTTTGATGTACACATAGAAAAATTGTTGACAAAGTAAATATTTACTAGAATCAAGTAAGTGTTGAACTTTTGCATGGCCTCTCCACACTCTCCACACTCTCCACACTCCAGCTCAATGGTGGCAACGATGCACCGACAGAACAAGAAGTCTATTTCAGCGAGGTATCATTTCTCGCGTTCTCATTGGGTACATGTCATGCAGCTTCATTCTGATTGGCTGCAGTGCAGCACACACCGCGTCGTGAACGAGCTAAAGCGCTGCATCATAAACTGAGCATTTTTTTTATCGCAGTAAACATAAAACACAATAAACAGCATCACTGGTTTATTTCTTTAGCTTCCAAGCGTTAGCAAAGCCTTCTAAAGGTAAGTTGTATTCTTCAGGAATAAAATGTTTGACTTTATAATTAAAGTCTTGTTCTGTTTGATGCTGAAACTGTGTATATCAATTTTACAGTGTTTTTTTTTAGTGTTAAAACGCCATGTGAAAATACAAGATGCATTTGAGAGGGATGAAACACTGATCATTCAAATCAGGTTTTGAGACGACTAAAAGATTTGACTCGGCCAAAGACCTGTATAAAGAAGCAGGCTTGCTAGGCCAGTGGTTTAGATTTTTGTATGCCATGTCAAAATTTTCACTGACTAACGTTACACCACAAAATAACCATGTCTTATGTAAATCGCGGCTTCCAAGACATTAGAAACGCCGTTGTCTTTTGGCCTCATAATTACAAACTGCAACTAGTATGAACTAAAGAAATGGTATTACTACTGTCTACATATAGTTAGAAACAGCAACTATGTCTAAAGAAATGTTATTATGTAATATATATATATATATATATATATTTATTGCCTCTAAGTGCCATTTGAAATATATATAAATATATATATATATATATATATATATATTGCCTCTAAGTGCCATTTGAAATATATATAAATATATATATATATATATATATATATAAAAACACAGCAAAACTTATTCTAAGCTAACTAATATAATGAGTATAATGTAACTAATAGTAAAATGACTGAGAATTTATTGAAAGCCAGTAAACAGACAACAATAAAATAAATATTAGAATTCAGATTAGGGCTGCACGATAAATCGCATGCGATATTTAATGCGCATCTTATCAGTAAGATGGAACGCAAAACCAAGTTCATATTCGCGCGATTTTTTGCGCAGCTCGTCAGTGAACAACGGCTCTGTGTAGTTAATGCTGCTCAATGTGAAAGCACGCAGGTGGAGATTTACCGCTGATTACAGAACCGGCTTTCTGACAAGATGCGCATTAAATATCGCATGCGATTTA